TTATAAACTAACAAAACTAATATATAATTATCAATAAAAAGTAGTAGAAAAACATAAAACATAGTAGGTAACCAAATCTATAAATTACAGAAGTCTCCGAAACTTTAAAGGTAAACAATGAATTTCACCTTCATTGATTAATAACCTCAATAATTACTCGAAGAAAATGTAATACTTAAAACACTAAACACTTAAGTCAATCCTAATCAACTGTTCAGACTCATCAGACTCACCAAGTTTTAATTAATTTAAAAGACATAGTGCAACTTTATAAAATGATTTTTATAATAAATCATCAACAATTCTTATATATAATTGCAAATACTAAAAAACCTAATCCCATATACAAATACTTATAATATTTTATAATGTGTTTGAAAAAACTACGTATGTCAAGTTCAACGTTGACTCAGTGGCACAACATGTTGAATCAAATTTCACAGGGTTTAACGAACAAACAGAATAGTATTGAAATTTAACAATAATAAAAATATATAATAAAATAAAAAAATATAATTAATTAATACAATTATTCTACAGCTGGTCTATGATTTTGTTCTAATATAAACACAGCAAGTAAATTTGTTAATAAATCTTTCACAGCAAATTAACAAAAACTCCAGAAAAATGTGCGAACATAAAAGTCAAGTCCAAGATGAAGGAGCGCTGACTCTGCGCTTCAAATTTGGCAGTACACGTGTTCGATTCCTGGTACTTGCAGTCTCAAAAAAAATTATTTACGAATAATTGAATACAATAATTATTCCAAGACCACTGATGATGGGTGGTCAGTATTTGACAATACTCGAAACAGCTGTATGGTCGACCAAAAACTCAATTAACTAAAATAATATAAAATTAATTTTTAATGTTATACGGACATATTAAGCCAATATACATATATAATAGAAGTTGTAAAAAGAAATTCATTATTTTGACATAAGTTGGGTTGTGCCTTTTAACGTTGCTCATATACTGACCACTGCAGTCTTTCCAAGAATACATCTGGTCTGCGTATGAACAACGCTAATCAGTTATACGGAACAACGGGTCATTATTTGTGTTAAAGTGGGCTTTGCCCACCTAGTCGCCAATCCAACCTAACCGAACCTACTGGAAATCTAACTTAATCCTAATCATACAACTATGATAGCTTAAATTACATATGAATTAGAATCTAATGTTTTTGTATACATATATTACTGTCTGCCTTTAAATTAAATTTATATGTTACACTCTATTAATGAGCTATCGTTTTTTAGGTATGATAGTTATGTGGATTTATTATTAAATGCTCTATTTTAAACACAGGTCTATTTTGGAATTTCATCTTCCATGTTAAAGGAAATTGACATTTCCTCAGACTATTTATCGCCTTTAAATGATAGTAAATTTATCACAAAAAAAACTCTGTGGAGAGGAAAATTCATTACACAGCGCTTATATTTTTGTAAAAATTGATACCTTCATATATGATCACAGGATTTATATGAATTACCTGTAATAAATTGTAATCAAAACATATCCACATTAATTAATTGAGAATATGGTTATAAACTAATATTCATTTTCAAATTAAATATTTATATCAAAAATAATTTATAGATATCTAGTAATTAATTATATTTATCATAACATATCTTACAATCGCACATCTCCTTTTGATTATCTACTGAATTTAATTCAACTAAAAGCACATACCTAAATATCGTATTCAAATTTACTAACTAATTTTCATCGCTCCTTACGTCAGTGACCAAAAATATATAGTACACTATAATAGTGTACACCTTATGTCCGAAACATACAAAAATTTTAGTGTTCTTTTTACGAACATAGTGAATTTTATAACGTTCTTTTCATAAACGTAGTGAACTTTTTAGGGTGTACAAATACCAGGTGTACCGGTATGAAATGAGCGTTTTTTGGTGAAAATAAAACACTAATTAATAATAGGAAAGTAAAAAACATTTTATTCAAAGTATTGGCCATTGCTTTCTACACATTTTGACCACCTTTCTGGCAATTTGTGGATACCACACCCAATTTTCGACCTCCTCGTAGGAATCAAAGTGCTGCTCAGCTAATGCGTGTCCCATCGATGAAAACAAATGGTAGTCGGAAGGAGCCAAGTCTGGTGAATACGGCGGGTGGGGTAGCAGCTCCCAGCCAAATGTTTTGATTGCATCCTGAACCCGTTTTGCTTTGTGTGCAGGTGCATTGTCATGGAGCAGAATTACCTTGCCGTGTCTTCTGGCCCATTCTGGTCGTTTCTCGATCAATGCATGGTTCAAATTTATCATTTGTTGTTCATAGCGACCAGCATTGACGGTTTCACCAGGTTTTAGGAGCTCGTGGTACACCACACCTTTCTGGTCCCACCAAACACACAGCATTGTCTTCTTGCCGAATCGATCTGGTTTTGCAGTCGATGTTGATGGTTGTCCCGGATTAACCCATGATTTTTTCCGTTTAGGATTCTTAAAATAAATCCATTTTTCATCGCCAGTAACAATCCGATGCAAAACCGATTTTCTTTCGTGTCTTTGAAGCAAAATTTCACAAGTGTTTTTTCGGTTTTCCATCTGTCTTTCATTCAATTCATGTGGCACCCATTTTCCACACTTTTGGATCTTTCCCATAGCTTTTAAACGGTCAGAAATTGTTTGTTGTGCAACATTTAACATTTCTGCCATTTGCTTTTGACCCAAAGTGTCATCTCCATCCAATATCGTTTGCAATTCGGCGTCTTCAAACTTTTTTGGCGGTCTTCCACGTTCTTCATTTCTCACATCAAAATCATTATTTCTGAACCGTTGAAACCATCTTTTGCATGTTGCTTCTGATAGAGCATGATCACCATATGCCTCGACAAGCATTCGATGCGACTCTGCACCACTTTTCTTCAAATGAAAACAAAAAATTAATGCTTTCCGCAAATCATCACTTTCTGGTACAAAATTCGACATTTTTAACACGATGAAAAAATATGATGTTGTCTGTTCAATGACTTGATGTATACTAAATATATTTCACACATGTATCTTTACGCTCACTTCATACCGGTACACCTGGTAGACATATGAGAAAGATTTGTGAACATGAACACAAACACTACAAATGTTTGATATATTCCGATCTTTATTTAGTGTACTGTTTACACAATGTTTTTTTACAAACATACAAAACAGTACAGTCAGAACATATTTGAAGCTCTACAGTTTATTTTTATTTACTGTGCTGTAGTAACCTTATTACTATATAAAGATATATTTATTAGTATTGATATAATCCAGAAGCGATTTGGTATACGTCCCTGAACCACATGTATTTCAGATGACTTATTTGCTGCTCACCTGACTATTAGTATAGTTACATAGACTATAGTTTTGATACTCATAGATAATATATATCTATCTATATAAATCCACATGTATATCTATCTATATATATAGATATAAATATATCTTCATATTATTTGATTTATTTAATAAATAAAATATAACTTTTTAAGTATTTGAACTGTTGTTTAATTTTATTTTTTGTTTTTTCTTTTTTAATTTTGCAGATTTGCAGATTTGAGAGTTTTTAAGGAGTTAAATCACTTTTAAGTTTTCATCCCACATCCGTTTTAAAGTTGAAATAAAATCGTGGCTCCTGTTAATCAAAATAGTTTTACTTCCATTAAAAGTAAAATGGCCTCAACTGGTGATATTTGGATGCAATGCTTTACCTGTTGCTTTCAACAACAGCAATCACCCACACGTAGAAGACATCAACGTTTGAGAATCGATCGATCAATGATAGGCAACCCAACAAATTTCGTGCACACTGGACACATTGGTTCTGGTGATGTAGAATTATCAACAAATCACCTGAACGCAATACAAACGCAAATGCAAAGTAAAGGTGGCTACGAGATGAATTCAATTCGATTGCAGGTCTGTAGTGAGATGCTTGATGCTTGATGCTTTGATTTTATTACATATTCTAATTAATGTTTTTAAATTTTAGGCTTGCTGATTATGACAAATGCTATGCATATATTGAAGAAGATTTCTTAATAATTGCAACCGCAAGCGAGCAGTGCAATTTAAAGGTCATTCACATGAATCTCGTATATCTCGTATAAAAAGTATTTGGAAATGCTCGCAGAGTTACGTCTATAATTCTAAGTTTATAGATTTAATGAAATAACAATATAATACTATTTAAAGGATGTTGAAAATGTATAGCTATCAAAATGTGCCGAGAATTTAATTTTAATAATTGTAGTAATATTACAGTAACTTAATTTTAATAACGAAAACTATGCAATATTGTTTAATCTAAAATGTTACAATAACAATCGTTATACGTCTTGACTGAGTGCATTTATAACATATGCAAAACATATTCAAAACTGAACTATTTTTCATTTTCATAATTAACATTTTTAATTAAATTAATCTTTTAACTCAAAAAATAATTTTAAAAAATATAAACATGTTAATGAGGTGAAAAATTATAATTAATTTTTGAGCTCTTGCTATCAAAACAGTTTACATTAATACAATAATTTGTACTTAAATTTTTGCAAATTTTTTTCAAATGAATTATTTCATTTCTACAAAATATATTTGCATTTTTTATTTTACAAAAACTGCCTTAACGAATATGTTAAATATGAGCATTTTAATTTTCTAATGTACTAGCTTTAAATAAAATGCTAAAATAAAAATCTTTAAAAATTTGTTGCATTTTAAACGCACAAAAAGCCAATATTTATTTGAAGAATTAAATTAAAACTGAAAGAAATAGTAATTTGTAGTCTAAAGCTAATAGTGTTAAGAATCATTTTGTATTATTATTTAATGTAAAAGGTATTTAATAAAAAAACTATTTACTCTAAAAGTTGAAATATATAAATATATATATATATATATATATATATAAATCAATAAATGTGTACCTTGATATGTAACCGATGAACATATTTTATTTAAAAAAAAAACATGTATTTAGTTGAAGATATTTTAATATAATTTAAACATAATTGTATTATTAACATGTTTTATTTATTCGTCATCACTGTGACTTCCACTGCCACCAGATTTGGCGTCGTCATTATTATCTGAATGACTAGCAGCACCTTTTTCACTGCCTTGATCTGCATCAGATTCACTATCCGAATCTCGTAGTGCTTTAGCTTTACCAACCTTTTTATGCCGTCTCACTTCAAAATCTGAGCCATCATCATCATCGGATGAATAAATTGCTGATTTTTCTTTACCAGCTCCAGAACCGCCCGCTGCATTATTCTTGTATTTATTTTTTATAGCACTCAAAGAGATTACATTCTCATCATCACTTCCTTCATCCTGATGATACGAAGTATTTGCGCTAGTAAGTAAATCATGTACGCCTGCCTTCTTTTTCTTAGGCTGCGGTTTATTTTGATTTCGAGCAGCCTGTCTTAATTTTTCTTCTTCTTTCTTTAAGTTATATAAACGATCTGTTGTCGGATCCTTACCAACTTGTGTAAGTATTTTGATGCCGCTTGTTTTTTGTGAGCGATCTGCCAAAGACATTGTCATCTTTTTGTGCGTGAAAGACTCCGTAGAGTGTGGCCTAAAAGTTAGTTTAGTTCGGAACACAGCTTGACCTTGAAGACCAGTACCCTTAGAATAAAATTATAATAATTTATAATAAGTGCATAGAAAAGCAAATAATTTTTCATCACTTACTTGACGTATAAACATATGATTATGATCACCATGCAATGGTTGCTTGTACACATCAAATGTTTCGTTTCCCAAATGTAAAGTCATGCTACCATCAGACCAGCGCACCATACGAGCATTTGATTCTTTAATCATGTCTCCATTATTATTCATTGTTTCACGCCAACGTATGGTATTACTAACTTTAAGCTTAATGCGTTGTCGACCTTCTTCGTCCATTGTTTCTTCCTCATCAATTTCATCCTCATACGTTTCAACATCAAATGGTCTTGTTTCCACAGACAAGAAATTTGGTAATTTAACAAAATGTAAATCTTTTCCTAAATCTGTAACAATGCGTGGTATATCAACCTCAATACGAGTTTCAGGGATTTGTTCTGGTTCATTTTCTTTCATTTGAACAATTTCGCCTCTTTCTGGAGATTTGGAAGGTGTTCGCGAACGTGATCGTGAGCGGGAACGTGAACGTGACTTTGAACGAGATTTAGAACGGCCAGAATGGCGTGAACTTGAACGGGAACGAGATCTCGATTTAGAACGTGAACGACTTTTAATTGAACCATTTCTCGAGTCAGCAACTGATTTCTTTTCATCATCTTCAGATAAGCTTATATCGTCGGCATCACCAAATATGTCTTGAGCATCTAATTTTTTAGTAGGCTAAATTAAATTAAAAATTAGTAAGAAAATATATTTATAACATAAAAATTAACTCTCTTACTTCATCGCTATCACTGTCACTATCCACAATTCGATTTTTCTTCGGTTCTTTTGTAGTTTCCTTATCAGATTCAGAACCACTAGAAACTGCTTTGCGTTTTTTGGCAACATTTCTGTTGCCTTCATTATCAGTACCTGATTCCGAACCACTACGTGATTTATGCGATGGAGTACCTGATCTGCTTCGTGATGGACTTTTAGATTGGCTTCGACTCCGACTACGTGACTTCTTTTGTGGAGAACGTGAATGAGATTTTCTTGAACCACTACGAGAACGTGAATGCGATTTTCTAGAGCCACTACGAGATCTGCTGTTACCACCATCATCTATTTGTAAATTTGGTGATTGTGAACGGGAATCTCCATCATTTATTGTTTCAATTGCAGGTTTTTCAGTGATTTCTTTTTCCGGCGTTGGCGAATGTTTTGATCTTGGTGAGTGAGGACTTCCAATTGAATTAGAATGCCTACTACCACTAGAACTAGATCGATGACTACCTGAACTTGCTGATCTTGAACCACTTCGACTACGACTTCTAGATGGAGAATGTGATTTTCTTGAACCACTACCCGAACGTGAACGTGAACGAGAACTTCGACTTTGTGAACCAGAACGTTCGCTTCCACTTCCTGATTTCTGACTTCTAGGCGAGCTGAGCATTAAAATATTAAAAAAAACAATTTATTTCAAAAACTAAAATCATATACCCTTCCTCATGACGCTCTGAAGCTGGTCCCTCTTTAGTTATTGGTTGCGGTGAAACACTACGACTACTAGAGCCGCTTCGGCTGCCGCTATCTCCAGAATCCGACTCTGACCCTTTAAAAATCAATGTAATTAATATTATAATTTCATTTACTTTCTTAATCACAACTAACCACTATCTGAATTGACCATTGGATATATATATTAATTTATTATTTTATAAATAAACTCTACAATACGAAAAAATTAGTACACAACGAAATTAGTGCATTATACAAACGACTACTCTTTTGTATGGACATAACTTGTATGAAGTAACCGTATTAATAGTGCTGTAGAAAATATATTGGCTGTATCATAATGTATGCATTAAACGAATGAATATAATATAAATAAAATATATTTATAAGTAAAATAAAAAGCAGAGATTTATGAAACATGTAACTATTTAAGCGGTAAAATGCTATGCACAGTTACTTTTCACCAGCTTTGTAAAATTTAGAAAAGTATGGCATAATTTTTATAACTCTTTTTTATAACTTATCTGATTCATATAATTATATATTCATATAATTATATAATTATATACGGTGCAATTTCTAAACCATTTTCATTTTCATAATACTAAAAAATTACATTAATGAACTTTAAAAGTAGTCGGTATTTGTTTTGAGACGAATCATACATGTATGAATCATATGTTTTAAAAAGAGGATGCATGTAGCGTGCCATTTGATGCAAGTGATTTGAAAAAAGGCAATAACTTGTTTAAATTCAATCGGTACATAAAACAAAAATGTTGTAAATATTAAAATATAAATGGAATTTTTACCTTTTTTCATATTCGTGATCTCCATAATAAATTATGTTGAATGTGCTATAGAAGTTCCAATGGACAAAAAATCAAGTGAATATAATTCACTACACACCCTAATGGTAACAAAACCTCGTTTATATTTCTTTAATTACTAATACAAATTATCCTTAGGCTGGGGGAGTAGCTGGTATTGTTGTGGATATTGCTTTATTTCCCATTGATACTGTTAAGACACGATTGCAAAGTGAATTGGGTTTTTGGCGGTCTGGTGGGTTTCGTGGAATATACAAAGGCTTAGCACCAGCTGCGGCAGGTAGTGCGCCTACAGCGGCTTTATTCTTTTGTACTTATGAGGGTTTAAAGAGTAATTTAAGTAGAATTACTAGCACACACAATTCACCGTATGTGCACATGTTATCTGCTTCTACAGCAGAAGTTGTAAGTATTTATAAAAATATGTGTTTGTGAAATATGTTTTCAACAAATATTTGTAGTTGGCTTGTCTAATACGGGTCCCAGTTGAAATTGCAAAACAACGGCGCCAGGCCTTAAGTAATAAACAAAATTCAGCGCTTCTAATTCTTTGGAATGCATACAAAAAAGAAGGTCTACGTAAAGGTCTCTATCGTGGCTTTGGTTCAACAATAACACGTGAAATACCATTTAGTTTAATACAATTTCCTCTATGGGAATATTTTAAATCAAATTGGACGAATTGCACTGGCCTTGCCTCGACTCCATTTACTGTAGCACTTTGTGGAGCATTGGCTGGTGGTATTGCTGCAGCCATTACAACACCACTCGATGTTGTTAAAACACGCATAATGCTAGCAGAACAAGGTAGTGCTGCAGTTAAATTAAACATTTTACGCTTATTAAGAAATATACACCGTGAAAGGGGTATTTCAGGGTATGTTGTTATATAATTAAAATTTTCATATTTCTTAAGTTATATTTTTTAGGCTATTTGCAGGCATCGTGCCTAGAGTACTGTGGATTACTTTAGGCGGTGCGTTTTTCTTTGGTTTCTATGATTTAACCACAAGAGTACTTGATACCAACTCACCTCCGCATAACAATATTTAAAAATATTTAAAAAAAAAACAAATTGTTATATGTTCATATACATACTTATATTAAAATTGTTATATTTATATAAATTTTGTACTTTATGTTAATCTTTTGTAATACTGTCAGACTAGTTAAAAATATTGTTTGCTTATTTTGACTTAATCATAAATATTGCAATGGAATTGTTGTTTTCAACGTCCCATTCTTCGTTTTAAGAGTTATGTTTGATAATTTTGCTATTTTTGTTAATGAGTAGACATTAATTAAATTAATTTTTAATATGTTTAAAATCATATAATTACTTGATTAATATGTAATTTTCCAGCAAGTAGCCACTTTGTTGGATCGTCTATTTCGTTGTCTGTTATGTTATCATCGTTTAATAATAGATTACGCTTTACTTTTCGCTTACAGTAAATGTGAGACAACTTTCTCCGATTTCTCGTCATTAAATAAACCTTTTTTTTAAAAATATGATAAATCTAATATAATACTTAGTTCTTAGTTTGATTTGAGATCATACCAGTGCGGATAATACCAAAATACCAAGAAAAACAGCGAAAGGTATTATTATGTTAAGACTTCCTAAATCCTTTTCTTCCGGGGAAACTGTAGTGCTTTCTAACATATTTGAATTTGATGACGTAGTTGAGACTAACACCGAAGACATTACGTACTTAATTATTTAAAAAGCTTCTATTGTAATTAAAATTAAATTGTCCAAAGATAAAATAACAGCTGTTCTATATAATAAAAAACTTCAACCAAGGAATACTCATACAAGTACTTTTTATAACAAACATCGAACAAAGAAAATGAATAGATATGACAATTAGGGGATGTCATATGCGATTCAAAAAAAACGTAGGTTGGTGTATTCCACTATAGTCATATTTTTTATTATTAATTCTGAATATATAATATTATTAATTATTAAATAATTATTAAAATGATGAATAATAAAATATTAAATTTTTATATTATCAATTTTATTATAAAAAATAAAAATACTATAAATTTTAGAATTACTTGAACTTTATTTTGTACTGTACATGAAACTATAATCTTTTACCACATATATACATATAAATATTTATTTTGCTTACATTTTTAATTTTTTTCCTTAAATTTGGACTTTGCTTAAATTGATTATTCTAATCAACTTTGATGGTTACACTATATATCGATATAGTTCAATTCTCCAAATATTAAGTTTCAATCTTGTAAGCTTTTACATTCTAGCAACAAGTAGTATACAAAATTTTTACATAAAGATGCATCAACACCAAAGCGAACGCTTGCGAACGAACGAATTTTTACAGGTACGATTACCTGTGAATACTCAGTGCCACGATTAACAAATATACCCGTCTAATTGTGAATATTATTTAAGTTCACGACAAGACTTATTTTTAAGTCTTGTTGATGTTCAGGCACGGCTTCAACAATTCTATACCTCCATACAACTTGAGTTTTTGAGGTAACGTGTTATAAATTTACATATTTTTACATTTCCAATTGTCATATGTGTACTTAATGTAAAATTTAATATTTTTTCTAAATTTTTTATTTGTATAATCAATATAGAATTTATAAATTCGAATCTTGATATATCAAACATTAAGCTGCATCGGGTATTCAAATAATTGCCAAGATACTGTGGTAAGAAGACGGGAAGTTGGAATTATAGTATGTTTCCATTGCCTTCGTTAAAGCAGTTTATTTGATTTGCTAATGAAGCTTAATTAACCGAACAAAGAGCTTTCGTGCATCCTTACTTAGGTGCATGTTATAATTGCAGTCACGTCTCCGCAATTATTGTTGTTGTTCAATGTAAAATAAAGTGGGCTGTTAGTGTCAAATTCTCATTCAAATTCAACTTTGAAAACAATAGCAAAGGGAAATGATCGGAATTAAACATATTTGGCACATAAAACATAAAAGAGGTATTCAGGTAACTGATTAGTTGCTTATTAGATGATTACAACAAAAATTTGCATACAAAAAAGAAACTAAGCAGAGAATCTTCTATTTCGGAGATTCTCAGATTAGTGAAAATTTGATTAATAGTGCTGCTAGTACCAAGTGTCGGCGCTATGAGCATAGGGTGTCTTCAAAAGAAAATGAAAAAATAATAACATAAATTAATAAATAAAATTCAGTAAAACTATTATTTTTAAAGGGTTAAAATATAATTAAAAAGTATAAAATTGAATATTCTACTTCTTGATATATGACACGTTTGCAATTTAAGTTATATGATAAATTATATGATAAATTTAAATGATATTAAAATTTACAAATATTTGAGTATTTCACTGTTAGCATACGTTTTGCTTTTGCTGATGGTACTAGTGCTGCCAAGGCATTTGCACACAACAAACTAATCAGAATACGCATTTTGGGTCGTTCAAGCAACTGATTAACATCAAAATGCAACTGATTAACATAAAAAAGAAAAGTTTTTTATGGATAAAATATATAATTAATATATTAGAATATGTAAATAAGTTTTAATTTATAAAACTTATTCTATTCATAATTTATAGAATATATGTTGATAAAACAATTTATTTAATAGACATATTGTGAATATATTAATCATTATATTATTAAATTATACTAACAGTATTAATGTCAGATCAAATATTATCATAACTGAGTAACCATATACATATTAGTCGGTAATTGAAAAAAAAATATTTCATTAAATATTTTGTAATTTTCTACAACACTAATAAAACTTTTCTGACATTCGGCTGTCAGTTTCTAATAATTTTTTATATGCATTCTTTTTATTGACATTCACATTCAAAATTAAAACCTGCGACGACAGGAATTTGGCTTTTGTGATATAATTAACAATAAATTGAGCACGATGGCAACAGCAGCAGCGACAAAGGGGACTACGAAAATGGTATAAATTTTTTGAATGTTTTTAATTTCAATTTATGTTTTTAATTTCTTATATTGTTGCAGAGCAAGATAAAGTCTTTTGTTTTGGTAACTACAGGTGCCGGTTTGTTTTTTAGCGGTTTCAGCATATATAAAGGCAATGAGAAATTCTATACGGAAGTAATTATGCCGGTTGTCAGACATTTACCCGCTGAAACTAGTCATAAATTAGCTGTTTTTGCATGTAAACACAATATTTTTCGAACACAAAATCTACCTGACGATATTAATTTGGTAAAAAATATGTAATATGCTGTAATATGTCCAAGCATATTCATTTGAGTTATTTTTCTTATAGAAAACCACATTTTTTGACAGAACAATTTCTAACCCAATTGGTATAGCAGCAGGATTTGATAAACACGCCGAAGCTATTGAAGGATTAGATAAATTGGGTTTTGGTTTAATTGAGGTCGGTTCGGTTACTCCAGAACCGCAACCGGGCAATTCTACTCCACGGGTTTTTCGTTTACCAAAAGATGAAGCTATAATCAACCGTTATGGTTTCAATAGTGATGGCCATAAAGCTGTATTTGAACGTTTAAGAGAACTTAAAAATAATAAAAACTTCAAGGGTGTAATTGGCGTAAATTTGGGTAAAAATAAAGAGTCTAAATCTGCTTTAAATGATTATACACAAGGTGTACGAATGTTTGGCCCAATTGCCGATTATTTAGTTATAAATGTGAGCAGCCCAAATACACCAGGTTTACGCGACTTGCAAGAAAAAAAAGATTTAGAACAACTACTGGAAGGTGTATTAGTGGAACGCTCTCAATTGCCGGTAAATAACAAAGTGCCGATATTGCTAAAAATTTCACCGGATTTGGGTAAAGCAGATTTGAAAGACATCGCTGAGGTTGTTACTAAAAAGAAATCGCAAATAGATGGTTTAATTGTATCGAACACTACAACAGACCGTAGTGATTTAAAAGAAACGACATTAGCTAAAGAAAATGGTGGTTTAAGTGGTGCACCATTACGTTCCAAATCCACTAAACTAATTGCAGAAATGTATCACCTTACAAATGGAAAAATTCCGATTATTGGTGTAGGCGGTATTGCCTCAGGGGATGATGCATTTGAAAAGTTGGAAGCTGGAGCATCATATTTGCAATTCTACACTGCTTTTATATACCATGGTCCACCAGTAGTATCACGCATAAAAAGTGAACTCTCAAATATTTTAAAAGAAAGAGGATATAATAATATTGAAGAAGTTGTTGGTAATAACTATAAAAAGTATCTAAATTAAAAATAAAATAACTACAATTAAAAATTATACATTTGAATTTATTAATTATTTCATAAATTTTAATTGTTAGCGGCTTGTATATTCAGTACCCGCCCTTCTAAAGTATGTGTATTTTGATTGGATGCACTATTAAAACCATCTCGAGTGCTAAACGTGACAAAGCCATAAGACTTTGAAAGTCCTTGTTGTTTATCAAAAACAACTTGCGCCGATGAAACGTGCCCAAATTTAGAGAAATATAACTGCAGCTCCTTGTTGCCAATAGTCCAAGGCAAATTGCCAACAAAAAGTTTATAAATGTTGCGTGTGGCACCAGACATTTTTTATTTCTTTAAATCTGTTCTCTTGTAATTTCTAATAGATGAATTGTATGCCCACCAGCAAATTCCAAAACGTCTATGCCGGAATACTTACCAATATCATCAATATTAACCTGTACAGCACAAAGGTTCCACTTTTTTAATAATGCTTCAATAGACCAATCTGTGCTTCGTTCTTGGTATGTGAATAGAAACTTTGCTTTTGGGTTTCGTTCCAGTAAAAATGATACGGTCACAATTATATCTTCAAACACTGTTGGATCATAAAAGCAATCAGCTGCTATTATAAAGTCCAAATTTTTTATTAGAAACACGCTACTTAAGAGAAGACCCCAACTTAATCCAATTACTTCTATATCTTGTCCTGGTAAGAGATTATTGGTTAGGCAAGATTTTTTTGTGTGTGCAAGTGACTTTGGTAATATGCAGTTGTCACTAAGAGTCACATGAGCACCACACTTTGCTGCTAGAATGCCTGGTAATGCGGTACCTGCACCTAACTCCAATATGTACTTTCCAGTAAGAGCTTGACGACGATCCCAAAGAAACCAAGCAAGTATAGATGCAGAAGGCCACGTGTAAAAGGAATAACCTCCTTGTAGTAACTGCAATATAACCAGAGTATTAGATAACCATAAAATTTTATGTTTATAATATTACCTCAGGTATTTTTATTTCTAAATTATTTAGAATATCAGTAGTTCCTTCTTTAAGTTGTTCAACGCTCACGCCGTTGTTTGAGCTTGTGCTTATGGTAGAGAATGTAAATTTTCGTATGTGCTCTATTAAATCGCTGTTAACACTGCGCGGACACGGCGGTACGCTACTTGTTGCTGACGATGTCGAATTTGTTGTATTATCGTCACTGTCTTCATTTAATTGAAACCGCCCACTTGTCATAATAAAAATTTTCTTTTTCTTCTTTGTATTGCAAAATAAGTTATTAATTTAGTAATAAAATAATTTGTTTTTGCATATTGAAGTTATATTAATTTATTATTCGCTTTTGTTAGATTTTTGTTTACATCTTTGTCAGTGTTGCCTATGCAATCAAAAGTACATAATCATTTACATGGGAATTAAATTAAGTTTGTGCATATTTTGTTTAATAAAATATTTAACATATATTTATAACATATATATATAAAACATACATTCAATATATATAATTAATAAATTCACAGGCGCTTTGTAGATTGATTAAGTCTACAATGTAATATATAGCAAACTAACACAAACTACTTTCGCCGTGTGCGAGTTCCAGTAAATTGATCATAAATTGAGGGAAATAGTAAATTATGTCAGTATGGCAGCGAATATTAGAGCTGGCGTATTTGTGCCTCGGTACTAAAGCAAAGCGGTGTTGTTTGGTAACATATATCTGAATATAATTATTATACTTTCCAATTATAAGGAAAGGCGTATAATTTTGTAATTACTGTTAACAATTATTATAAGATATTATAATGATAAATTAACATTATTGCTGGTTATTTTTGGTGGAAAATTGAAAGTGAACACACACACATATATTTACATATCCTTTTAAATTTAGGCACAACTAAAAAGTACCAAAACATTGTAAAAATACGAAATTGGCAATACTGATGTGACAGTCTACATAATATGCATTTTCGGCATAGCCCGAAAGGGTCAATTTTGCCGTGCAAGAGACGATTTACGTAACATGACCTGTAGACTTCTTATTGATATTATTGTTGAGTACACTATATCTCATTTTCGATTTTTTACTCACTAATTGATTGTTGACTCTTGGCTTAATATTCTTTACTGCTATTGTTGACTTCTAACTTTTATCTAACTTATAATTGTTTTTCTAATACCGAAAATAGTTCGGTTTTTACAATTCATTTTCTTACATCCAATTATTTACATTATATATTTAAATTCTATTGGTTACATTATTTCTTACCTTCTATATACTTACGACATGGATAAAACATGATTCTTAACAGTTATCATGCATATGGTAACCAACTGTAAAGAGGACAAATCATATTGCATGCACAATTGCTTGCAATATGATCTTGTAAAACTCGAAATTCGAGTTGAAAATTCAAATTGCCAAGCACATGCTGAAGTAATCACACTTCGCAAGCGATAAAATGCAATGACAAACAGAAGAGCCGAATTTTATTATTTTACTTTTTTTACTTGGGTCATAAATTATTCTTTTGAAGTGTTTTGGGTTAAAGTGTCAGATCACAATATCGCATACAGTGACTTGCGTGTGGTCATGCTTTGATATGACACTACATATGTTATGTGAACTTATCCATAAATTTGTCATCCTAAAGTTTTATATTACTTTGTATTAAACAAAATAAAAGACAAAACGCAGCATTATAGTTTTTGTTTAAGAATCTATCCTACACACAAAATAACGCTAGCTGTTTACATACTTCTGAGTGCACCAAAACGAACTCACTGTTTATGCTGATTCAGCTATGACCAATAAAGTCAAGTTGAACATAGCATTCTTTGTTTAGTTGATGAATAATGTTGCACTTATGATTCCTCTTATAGAAATCAACTTACATACGACAAATACCACCACACTTATTACAAGAATGCAAATATCAGCATAACTGGAGTGGTTTGATTATCTTTTGCTGGACATTTTCAGTTTAGTACTAGTCAAGCTAACAAACAAACTGGTCGTAGTTTTCTATACATAATAGGTATATATTATACAAAATAATATTATTTTTTGAATCAATTTTGAATTTTTGAATAAGATCTGCGCACGTAAATGTTGTATTGTTGACTAAAATATATTGAACACTTCTTAGATTTTCATGCAAGACAAATTAATTTAATATATCAACATTACTATTTTGTGTCGAGAATTAAATGAATACAAATTAATTTTACTTTTATGACCGTTTACGAATTCGAGTAAATTGAGGGAAATAGTAAATTATGTCGGTATGGCAGCGAATGTTAGTATTAACCAGAATTAGGTATTACCATTGTGAAAATTTTAAAATATGTTTAATAAATAAATTTGAAAACTTTTAACAAAACATAATAAATAAGTGCAATAAATAAATAAATATCTCCATAAGTGCAGTGCAAAAAATACCTAGGAAATTTCAATTTACTTTATCTCCATTTACTCGAACTCGCATACGACCTAAATAAATAAATAAATTTGAAAACTTTTAACCAAAAATAATAAATAAGTGCAATAAATAAATATTGCATTTTAGCAGTGCAAAAATAACTCAACACGGCCTATTTACATGATTTTAAGAACAATATTTTTAGCACCAAATATATGCACATTTTTGAATTTAAAAAAATAAATGCATTTATACAAATAAATTCGAGTGTCACTACAAATAAAATCAACTCTAGATTTCGTAAGATGTCAAAATTCATATTAAAACAAAAAATATATGTGCAAGCATTCTTTGCCCAACATATTAATAACATTGTTTTTGTATAGATGCCGTTTCTTTTAATTAGCAACAACTGATGCTGGAGCTTTAAAATGGATGAAATAAACGATTTCTTCAACTTTAGCAAACCTTTAAAGCGGGTGGGAACTTCTCACCATGGTGCTTATCGTGATAATTCCAGAACAAGCGCAAGTTTCAAAAATATAAAGGTAAAAGTTGAACGTGAAAAAGAAGTGCAAGAATATGATAACACATTAAAGAGACGCCAGGAGACACTAATGAACAAAGTAAATATTCACATATATATATACATATATATTTAATATATTTAACAAAATAACTTAAGCTAAATAATGATACGGACGATGATGACATGCCAAGCTGTTCGAAAATGAATAGCACTTTAAATGATATAAGTGATGACGAGGACGTCGATATGGATGTCAAGCCTCAAATAGATGACATTTATGATAAATATAACTTTCTACGTGATCATAACAAAAGACTTCCAATTCACGATAACAAAGAAGTTATAATTGCAAAGATTCGTAAACATCCCGTTGTTATTCTTCAAGGCGAGACTGGCTGCGGTAAAACTACACAAGTAAGTAATTGAAACTATTTTTAATTATTTCATAGATTTTATTTTTTTTAAAGTGTTCTTAAAATAAAATTATTATTGTTGCAAAATTTTCAAAATATAAACTCATGAAGTAATATTTTCGTGGTTAGCTTAAATAATAAAATATATAAAATACGTATATTCATTATTCGTATATTCATCATTTATTATATGTTATATGTTTTGAAGTTTAATAATTTCTCTCATTCAATTTCATCGTTAAGGTCTGCTGATAACGGATTTGTCATAATTTGACGTACATTTGTTCTGCCCTTATAGTTACCGGCACGTTTACCTGTTGTATCGGCTTCTGACAGTGTCGGACTGGTTATTTTTTTATGAGCTTTTCTCTTTAAAGCATTCCTTGAATTTGGAATCACTTTAGTATTGTTGGTGTTAGTACTATCAGTTTCATTAGATTCAAACATTTTAGACATATCTTCACACACTTCGTTTAATTCCTTAATAGCTTGTGTCGGCGGCAAAGTTAATTTATTTAATTTATAATTTTGAACTAGATCGCTTTTTACATTATTATATATCTGTTCCACTTTACTCAGTGGTACTGTAACATTTGTATTTAATATTACATCCTTGAACTCACATTTCAATGAACTAGCCCGCTTCAGTTGTCCATTGGTTGTGTTTGTACAATCAATATGATCATAATTGACAAGATCTTCTAGGCCACTTAAAAAGTCAGTGGCACAAAATCTAAATGCATTGCACTTCACCATTTTCCAAAATACATATTCTACTTCATTACGAACTGGAGTCTCTGTTATAGCATCGATAAACATCTTAATTGTTGTAAATGTTTCTATACTTAATTGAATTTTAACATATTCCTTAGTAGGCTGTTTAAAATATACTGCATACATCAAAAAGAGCGCTCCTACACGTTGCTTTTGAAATTTTTTTTCATCTGAAGTCCATCTCTCTTCACCACAAATGCATCGTCTTGTAAACTGCAGAATTGCTGTTGTTGTTTGTAATAATTCAGTTGTTGACGTTTGACTGTAGTATATATTATAGAACTTCAATTTAAGCCATTCTTTACTAAAGCCTGTAAACGAGTCATCATCGTTATTAACGAATTGATCAATAACACTTCTGCAATCTTGATAAATTCCAGCTTCCATACTTAATGAAAAAAGTATTTATTGTGTTTTGTTTTATTTTGCTGCATCTTTTGGCAAGTGTCAATAATAACAAAAAAAACAAAATAAGGGTTGTAACGTCATTATAAAATAAAAAAGTAGTATAATAGTACTATTAAATCTGTTCCCATAGGTACTTGTAACTTTTCACTTCAGTTTTGCCTCTTTTGTTCCCGTAATTAAAAGCTAATTAAATTATTAATAGCGAATTTTGATTTTGTAATATACAAAATTTACTTGAATTTTAATTAAAAAATTTCTTCAAGTAAAGGCGAAAAACAACTGATTACTGTTAGTATTAGTATTATAAATATTAATATAATAGTTAAATAACATTTTTAATGTTATAATGAAATTTGTATACTAAGGTCGTGTGCGAGTTAGGCGAAGTTGCGTTCTAAATGAGGGAAATACTAAGTTGTGCCGATAATGTAGTGATGTGTCGATACGTGTTGATAAATGGCTAAATGTGTGCAGTGCAAAAAATCCCAAAAAATCTCCCATTTGGTTTAGCATCAATTTAGCCTAACTCGCACACGTCCTAAATCAAATTCAAATTTAATTCAATTCAAATAATTAATTCAAATTTAATTTAATTCAAAAATTTAATTTAATTTGAAATTGAAATTCAATAATTTAAGTGAACACATTTCTATTTAAGTGGAAAATCAGTTAAAGTGTCATTTTTTTTTGTTTCGTTGCGAAAAATAATATAAATATAGGCCGTGTGCGAGTTCGAGTAAATTGAGGTAAAGTAAATTGAGATTTCCTCGGGATTTTTTGCACTGCACTTATGTAAATATTTATTTATTGTACTTAATTATTATTTTTTGTTAAAAGTTTTCAAATTTACTTATTTATTTATTAAACATATTTTAAAATTTTCACAATGGTAATACCTAATTTTTATCTAATTTACCCTACTTGAAATTCTGGTAAATACCAACATTCGCTGCCATGCCGACATAATTTACTATTTCCTTCAATTTACCATCAATTAACTCGAACTAGCACAAGGCCATTGTAAAATTTATATACAGCAACCAATTTTAGCCAAAATACAATTACTTTAACAATAAGAAGTGAATAGAATATCTAAACCAAGTCTGCTGCTATTCAAATTATGTTCTACTCTTCAATATCACACCAAACTTTTAAAGAAGTTATTTAGTTTGTGCTAGTTTTTAAATATATAAATATACAGTCTAAACGGTATTGAAACAAATAATAACTTTTTCACAAACTGTAAAATATAGATGAAAAAAAAACCATTGTTATAATTAAGATTAAATTTAATAAAAAAAAATGTCAAATTAAAAATGGTGATATTGCCAATCAAACAAAACGATCTGCAGGAATGAAAACGTATGATTTTCTAGATTTATATTTCGACTATCTTCAATAGTCATTTCCAGGGAAACTCCCTGAAGAAACTCTCTAAAGATGACAGGGAGATGACGACATGTCGGAAAAATATTTTAATATAATATAAATTGTTTTTAAATATAAATAATAAATTACAATTTTTTTATTTCTATTTAAATGACCAATTAACCCGTTTTTTAATTATTATATAATATTTTTGGTCACAAATAAAAGAATTAAATTCTTTACAATATTTTCTGATATTTATTAACAAATAAATTTTGAAACGTCGGTGATAGTTATATAGACCACTATATAATAATAAAAACTGATCTATAAGTTTTTATTATTTAAATTTTAAATTTTAAAAAATTTAATTTAACAACTAATCTACATTCAAAATAACATTTCATCAATTTCTTTATTTACAGGTTCCGCAATATATACTGGATGATGCATTTACTCGTAGGCAATTTTGTTCAATTGCTTGCACCCAGCCTAGAAGGATTGCAGCATTATCCATTGCTCGTCGAGTTTCAAGTGAACGAAATTTGGAACTTGGCTCCTTAGTGGGCTATCAGGTAATATCTTACTTTTCTTTTTTCTGCATTAATATTAATCCTTACCTTAATCTTTAACTATGTTAGATTGCATTGCACCAAACCACTTCTGCGGATACACGCATACTGTTTTGTACTACGGGCGTATTGTTGCAAAAAATTATTACAGCAAAATCATTATGTGCATTCACTCACATTTTACTTGATGAAGTTCATGAACGTGACCAAGAAATGGATTTTTTACTCATAGTCATAAGGCATCATTTGGCAACAACATCAAAACATGTGAAGATTGTTATGATGTCTGCTACTATTGATACGTCAAAAGTAATAATTCTGCAAAAATTATAAATGAGTCGCTTTTTAAAAGATTTTATTTCTAGTTTGCTGAATATTTTAAAATACGCAATGTTGCTGCACCAATAGTTCGTGTCGATACTCGGCGTTTGTACAGCGTGAAAGAACACTATTTGGATGATTTGGCTCGCATAAACATTAATGTATATTTATTAATAATAAAAAATATAAATTAATAATTCATGTTTCCAAAAATGTATTTATAGCATGTTGAACCTGAAGAGGGTAAACCAAACATAAGCCCAGAATTGTATACCGTAACATTAAAGTTGGTTATTGTTATTGATAACATAGAAAAGGAAGAAGCTATGTTTTCTCTTGAACCATCTTCTGATCAAAGTTCTATTTTAATATTTTTACCGGGATTGAATGAAATTGACTTGATGCTTGTTAAATTACAAAGATTAAACAACGAAACGTAAATATATAAAATACAATTAAGTTTTAAAATTTTTTATTATATATACTGCTCATATTTTTAGTAATGTAAAGCTGATGCCTATACGTTTACATTCCTTAATATCAACTGAAGAACAAAATAAGATTTTTACCTCCGTTCCAGGATTTCGAAAGGTTATTTTGGCCACAAATATTGCAGAAAGTTCTATTACTGTACCGGATGTAAAATATGGTATGTTACATACATATATTTAATAAATATTTTCGACTTATAAAATTATTAACTGATTAATTAATGCCGTAGAATATTATTACAATATTACTTTGAAACACCTTCGCATTACTGTATCAGTGTAGTTTACTATATATGCAGATATACAGACTTTTTCATCAAATTTTTTCCATTATTTTATTATTCATAAATATTATTTTTTATATTTCTAAATATCTTCATAAAATGTTCAACATGATGAGGGTAAACTTAACATAAGCCAAGAATTGTATAACTCTTGTTTATTGGGATTGATAATATAGAATAAGAATAAAATTTATTCAATATTACATATCTTATTTCAAACCCTTGGATTTACATTTTTGGTAAGACTTTATATGCTTATAATTTCAATATTAAATGAGTTTACGTTCCAGAGTACACTATATATAAAATTGTAAATATCAATGACAAAAAATTTGAATTAAAAAATTTATAGTTTGATTAACTGCATCTACATCGATAGCTTTTGCAGTGAAACGAACATATGTGAGGTCGAATACAAGTGTAAACTAAAAGCCCTCCACAGATGTAATGTACTTTTCAAGGCTACAGTTGCATAGCAATATTGCTTTTGATAGGCCATCGCTTAATTTGTCCCAAGATGAACGACGTCTTTTTCGTGCCGTAAGTACTGTCCTAGCGCAATTGAGGTCAGTATATGGTTACGAAATTAATCTCATTACAATATATCTATATTTAGTAGTAGAAGTCAGGTGTTATATGGGATTCGGTTTTTGTTTAGTGATTAGTGGGTTACTTTCTGTTAAAACCAGGGAATCTTTATAACCGGTTTATGTATGTATCAGCATTTGATGTTGTGATCAATATGATCTTCAATTTGCAAGTTCTGGATCTGCTGGAAGTGCAAAAGGGAAGAAGATATTCATATTGAGGAAAATAGTAGCATATATGTTGTGATAGAATAACTAAGTAACATTTTTTGAAATCTAGTTGGGTTACATAAATTAAAAAAAGATAGATTAATTACCCTAAAACTGTGAAATTTATTGTTTTTGTTGTTGTAAGTCTGTTCATATTCCTATCAGTCCTCAGTTAACCTAGCAAATAAAAAAACATGAATAATCTATAAGAGCAATATAAGTATAGAAAGATATACATAAAGTACAATAAGTAGATAGTAAATAGTATGAAATGATGATGTGAATATGAATAATAAATATTTCTGAATATAATTTGAATGGTTTAAGATTGGTTTGGAAAGAAGTATAAATGAATTTTTGACACAGTAAAACAAGTGTTATCCCATGTTACCGTTTTCTTCCTGAGAAATGGAGGAATACGTGTTGAATACTGAATTGTCATAAATGCTCCTTTCAGGTGCAGTTACTCCATGACTGCTGCTGCTTGGTTGTTAATGGAGTATTAAGCAAAATTGTTAATCATATAAAAAGCAAAGTAACAGAACACGCTATTCTGCAGCGATAAGCTTCTCATCATACAAAGAAAAAGAAATATTGTTGATTACTAACATTCTGTGTGTTACGTAGCCCAGTTTTAATGTTCCTACAATGTTGGACCCACTATAATATTTTTCAAAATTTTCCAAATTCAGCATTATTTATTTCAAGCATGTTTAATATAAAAAGATAAACGCTATTTATAAAAATCCGTGTTTTCTGTTTCGTGTAGAGAGTGTGAGCATGCTTCTAGAGTTTTAACTAGAGTTTTATTTTTTTTACTTTGTTTACAATATTTTTCAATAAGATATGTCAATTCTTTTGAATTATTTATCTTTATGATTATTATACTCTGGATTGATTTTTCATATTTGCGAAAAGTGGAAATTCGACAGAAGTGATGGTAACGAAACTTCATGGCTGGTGAAGTGTTGTTTCGGTATTTAGATTCAGTCACATGAAATAATTTTCTCCAAAACCGTTTTCATAAACGTTTTCGATAAGGATTACAAAAAATTGAATTTTTGTTGATATAATTGTATGTAGCTTAATTAATTTATTCATTTATTAATTAATTTAACGTATTTACAAAATCTAAACCGATCAATTTTATTTTAACAAAGAATATCTATACTCATTCATATTTTATGAAAATATAAATATATTTTTTTTCTTACAGTTATTGATTTTTGTTTGACGAAGCACATGGTAGTAGACACCTCTACAAATTTTAGTTCACTGAAAATGCAATGGGCATCCAAAGCGAACTGTAAACAAAGAGCTGGTCGCGCAGGCCGTTTATCTTCTGGACGTGTATACCGTATGGTGTCAAAATATTTTTATACTGTATGTGTGT